ATTCTTAACAGAAAGCGAACTTTTAGCAATATCCCTTTCACTCACGGGGTGGGGTGGGTGGTAAAGTGGGAAATCTTTGTTTTCGCAGTAGTGGCGCTGGCTGATTTATTCTGAGATTTTGAGTTTGTTTAGGATAGAAGATTGTTAGTTTATAAAACTCATATATATAAAACAATTATATTAGCGCTTGGGTAATCTTTGTATATGTGTGTGTACATATACATACAAGTAATTTCATACTCACGTGAAGGATTTCCTGTAGAGTTCCTAGAACGCGCTACAGCTCCCTTTGAAATTGTGTTGTCATCATCAGTTGAAACATCTATAAGATATATACGCTGACATTACGACAGTTGAGGTTTATTAAAAGCGTTCAGATAGCATGAATGAGGTTATTTTTCCAACACCACACGGTACTAGACAAGATAAACTCACTTTGGACAAAATCCCTAAAAACTGTACGTTTTCTGACTCTCTTTTCCTGGTTTACAGCCATCTCCTGGGAAAATAAAGAAATGGTTAATGAGAATTTCTCTAAAATGATTCCTGTTAATTTGCACAGATTTTATCGGAATAATTTCGTTACCCCAAATAACTTTCATTCCATGTCATGGAGAAGGGGAAAAATCGCAAACTCTTCTGCGTACGGTAAACACACTGCTTTTCTGTGCAAGCCTTTGGGCTGCAACAGACATCTTTTTGCCTTCTCCATGGGGCTTCTGACATAAACTATGTCTAGGAGCTTTGACTTGCAGGGACTCTCAAAAAAAGTCTTGTGTGTCATCCTGCAAAATGACATCTGCAACAAGAGTACCATTGGATCTTTTCTCCAACACAAAGGCATAACGGTCATCCTTCAGGAGAAAGCAGCAGTCGCGTGTTTTGGTAGAAACATAGCGGCCCTTCGGTTTCTGCCGCCCTGTGTGCCATTGATGATGTTCCATCTTAGCCAATCTTTTTGTTACCTGGGAAATCGGGTTTTTGCTGTCACCATCTTGTTTAATTCCTGTAGGTGATTCTCAAATGAGAAGGATGACACATCGTTCAATGAACACTTGAAGTGTGTAACATCCTCAGGCAAATGCTGCACACTGTGGACATTGTAGACAGTGAACGTGGGTCCATACAAGAATTCATTGTTGTCCACTGTTAGCCAAGTGCTTGAGGAGGGTGGAAGCATAACCAAGATATGCCTCCCTCTTCCAGGAGAATTGACATGCCCACAGTCAATGAGAGGAAGTGCTCATAGAAGTTGTCCAATAAGATGTCCCGCAGAACCACAGGCCCTGTGTACAACAGGAACTGGTGGACCTCGAATGATTGACCATCGATTTCGGTAAAAGAACGAGGTTGCCTTACAAACTCCATTGGCATGGCACCCTGCAGCCTTATCATTTGTTGAGAGATTTCCTACCTCAGTATTTGTGCCAGCCTGCAGTCTACGAATAGACGTTGAAAAAACGTTCACTTTTAAACCATTTTGCAACGTCTTTGCAATGTCGGGGATAGACGTCTTTTCCCCTGAATGTCTCTGGTCCTCTAGCTGGCTGAGAAGCTGGAGGACCCTCCCCCACTTTGTTTATACATGCAGGACTCTACACTAATGTTTTTCTCAAGGAGTACATGTGCTCCTAAAGGAAAGGATTTAGGAGCACACAAAGACATTTAGGAGTGTTTTTTTTATTGTATTCGTTTGATAAACAAATATCATGCATATATACTGCGCCTAAATGTAAAGGATATCGTTTGTTCAGCTGCTTTTATATGCTTTTTTTACGCCTATATGTTCTCCCTCTGCCGGCTCCAGTGGACGTTGAAGTCGTGGCATTTGTGGTCATCGTAGCCGGTTCGCTACGGTTGTTCTCTGGTAGCTCTACATCTTGTGAAGAAACCTCTTTCACGTTAGTTGAATCTTCCGATATCCCCCTTACCTAATTCATCTTTCTCTTCATCGTCTTTTCGCTTAAAATAAAATGTGATGTGCTTCATTTTGTTGATTGCCATGTAAACTTCACTTGGTTCACTTAAAATCCAGCAGTTCCTGCTTCCCAAACTATTTCAATGATTGGCCCATTGCAGAGCCATATAAAAAGTTTTTATACATGGCTCTGCAATAGGCCAGAGTGGGGCCACTTTTCCGGGTGGAATTTCAGGCCCAAGACCGGCTCACTTTTTCCATGTTAGTGGAAATCGGATAAATGAAGCAACAGTTCAGGTCTTACTATCCTGTAGTTTTTTTAATAATAATACCATGGTTCAACAAATAATGTTACTGTTAAATAATTATCCATTTAAGCTGAGAAGTTAACAAAAAATATTCACTTTTCCACAAAGACAGGTTGATAAATTAACAAAAGCAGAAATAAATACATGTGAAATGTATCCCACTCTTCAACAAAGAGGCATATTGAACTAATGTTTACAGTATAGAGTTACATTGCAAATAGCACCAACAGAATCTACAGCATCAGAAAGCACCTAAGCAGTGCAGTGGTTTCAGCCACTTTATCTGGAACTGTGTCGTTGTTTATAGGATTTCCTTCTCTGTACACATTAACATGAAAGCCTCCAAGTCATCCTGACTCAATGTGCTTCGTGGCCTATTCTTCACAAATTTTACTCCTTTACTACACCCACTTCTGAGCAAACAATGCACATTGGTTCATCAAGTACTGTCATATACTGCTCTTTAATTCATATTGTTTACTCTGTTATCCTCTCTACCTGTCTCTGTAGTCACAGCCTCCTCATTGCACATTTCGGGCTCATCATTTTCAGCAGGAGACTCATCGGCTACAAAGAGAAACTAAAGCTGCAAGCAGCGTTGGACGGGTCCTCGCCACTCCGCATGTCGGAGCACCGGCCGGACGGCTAGAAACGCAGCCAAGTTTAGGAGAAATGGCGAAAAACGTGTTTTTCACCAAATTCAAAATGGCAGAAAATCTAGTTTGGCGCATTTGCATACCATGATTGCCTTTTTTTGTAGAGCATGTCCAAGAGCACATGTGTGCCAAATTTCAAGTCAATCGGAAATCGGGAGCGGAAACTGGCCTAGTGGGGTACTTTTTTACCTTTCTAGGGGGCACAATGGAGACATTTCTTCGTACCCAAATGAGAGACCCCCAAAATATCAAATTTTTCACCAGTTCTGATAAGCATGCCAAATGTAACAACTTTTTGAATATGATAAATATGCCTCAAAAAGGGAAAATTCCTTACAGAAAATAATAATTCTGTGAAATACAATAGGTTCCTCTCCGGCTAGTCGTAGCGAGGACCCTAATAATAATTCCTTGAAGTACAATAGGTTCCTCTACGACTAGTCGTTGCGAGGACCCTAAATATGTGCCTAATTGAACAAGTGATTAAGTCTGGTAGTCCGTCAGTAATATTTTCAGCAACGCGCTCAGAGTTCTTGAAACAGGGAAAATGTGGATGTAAAAAAATGAATCAGTAACAACCATTGACATTCCTTGGAGCAAAGATCTGACCCCAGAAGTTGACAGCTGACAACCGAGGCTGAATCAAACTCGGAGAGTTGAATGTGCAGATCATGTAATGGAACTGCTCCTGGGTAAAGGAATCTAGATCATTTAGGGTGGACATGGAGGAACTGATGAAACATTTTCTTTTCAAAAATAAAATAGGGTCTCAATTTATTCCTTATTTCACTCCTAACAACCAAGTGTTTATAACAGATGCAGCAGTGACAGAAAGAAGACTGAAGATTAAATGAACTGACCAGAAGGTCCTGAGCCCAAGATAAATGCTGTGAAAAAAACATAAATAGACCAATAAAATGTTTGGTATCTTTGAAAACTTTACATGGCCTGTGCGGAGTAACGAGGCAGATAGATTGAGGAATAGTTGATGGGCTCGTTGCATCAGGCCCTTATCCAAACACACGTTTCCGAGGTGGTTCAGAAAGGTACAGAAGAGATCTTCAAATGAGAACGTCAGAAAACTCACACAGACTTTGTTGAAGAATAAGCATGACCTCATATGATTTTTTTTTAATTCATGAAAACTCTTCAACTTTAAAGAACAATGTGATGAAAACCTCTGGGAGATTAGTCAAAGATAAGGCTAGGAAAATTGTACAAAAACAGTTCCCAGAAAAGTGTGTACAAGGATCATTTGACCTGCCATGGTCAACCTGACCCAGACAAGGGGGAGGGAGCATAAGATGATGACACCAGATGAGCATTGTTTTTGGTTCAATGGATGGGATTGGATTGGTGGGAGTTAGGAGTAAAGGTACGTTCACATTAAAAGAGAAGAAAATCTTACACCTTACTCTCGTGAATTTACTCTCGGGACTATTTGTGTAATTTGCTACATTCGTGCTCGAAAGGGGGCGTAGTTTACATCCGTGGCGTGTCTCTGTAAACAGTTATTTCTGCTATAAACCATGGATATAACCACTATTTCTGCTCTGTGCTTGTTTAAAATCGGAACCGCAAACAGTCTTGTGTTTGGGTCATAAAATCATTGTCTCAACACACAGCTCGGTGAATTTTAACAATTTCTCTAGGAAATGAGTTTAGATGACGCCGCTTCGAGCACTACTTCAGGGTCAACATGGTCAATGGTGGCGCAAGGGTAGAGAGGGTGCGCTGGGAACCGCAAGGTTGGTGGTTCCGGACCTGGCTGCTCCATGTCCCATGTCGAAGTGTCCCTGAGCAAGACACCTAACCCCTAATTGCTGCCCGGTGAAAAATGCAATGTAAGTCGCTTTGGATAAAAGTGTCAGCTAATTGACCTGCCAAATTTGAAATATTTCAACTTTGAATTTTTGGCTTCCGCTATTTGGTTCGTTTGCAACTATTCACGTAAAAAATTTAGTTTGCTTTTGGTGTGAACACAGCCTCAGGTGTTTGACTCTTACAAACCAACTAAGAACTAAAATGGTTTCTTATACTGTGAACGGATCCTTGTGCGGTGTGACCGCAGCATTAGGAGGTGAACGAGAGTTGTGAGATGATAAGACTACCTTAGCCTCAGGACCTCAGGAATAACAGCCTCTGATGAGCCTTCTTGGTGATGGACTTGAGGGCCTTGGATATGATGGAGGCCAGGAAACGGAAGGAGTCCACAGCAGTGGAATCACACTGTTAGGGGGTGGGGTGTATTTGGTGGACCCAAAAGCACACGCACAGCAGCCTTGGATTTTCAGCCAAATGACTTAATTTTTCACAAAAAAACAAGGGGAATACGGCAAACAGAAAGCGCTCCTCTGGCTCAACTGGAGTCGGGAGGGAAACTCCACCGACGTCTGGCGGTCTGGGGTGGCTCAAGCAGGGTCTGGTGTGGAAACCCGAGGCCCGACACCATACTCACAGTCCAACTCAAAAGCAGGTTACGTGCACTCCGTGGTACTCCGTGGGTCTGACACAAAAACAAACCAAAACATGAATAAACTGGCTTAGCTGCTGTATCTCAGTATCAACGGCACCTGAGACCAGCCTGGGTACTGGGACGGACTGACGACGACGACGAGCCTCTGAAAGCAGGAGCCTTTATGCTCGTCACCAGTGATCCCCGGAATGAGCCACAGCTGGGCACGTGGGAGAGGGGTGGGGCCGGAGGCGGAACACACAGGTGGAAAAACAAAACAAGCAAAAACAAAAGCACAGACTGGGGGAAAAAACTGTTAATAAAACCGGGTCCCTAACACACACAGGGAAGGTGGGGCTGTGTTCCTTCGGAAATCCACAACCATCTCCACTGTCTATAATGTCTCAATTGACTAAATAAAAGTAGGGCTGCATTTAAATTTCTGCATGTTCAGTGCTTCGATTCAGAAAAAATAAAATAACGGGAAGATGAGCTTAAATTTCTGCTTCACATTTGGACAGTCTCTGCAAATTATAAATGCCAGGATTTAAAACCTGGACCGGAATACATCAGGGCCGTTCTCCTCCTCAGGCGGAGAAGCTCATTGAGCCACATGATGGCATTTCAATGGGTTCGGAGCATATCAGACACTGGTTTAGTGCTGTAGTGGGAAGTATGAACAGAAACGAGTCCGTCCATTGAGGGTTAAATGCTCTACTTTCGGTGTCCACTTTCCTTTTTTGGAGAGCGCCATTTGTTCCTCATTTTTCTCACCCGTCCCTGTCTCACTTTCTCAGTCTCACTAGTCTTTTTCTCAAATGTCGTTCTTTTTCTTCCTACAGTCTTTTCATTTATAATTTGCCGCTACTTCGCTCGTCTGTCCTGACTGTAATGCAAAGGCTTTATTGGTATCATGTGGGATGGTTTAACTCGAATTCAATTGGTCTGTGCTTTTAAGCCACAACCGTAAAGATGAGCAAAGCTGCGCCGGTTACAATTTAATATTTAAAAAAATTGTTAATCCTTCAAGAAATCATCAGAATACTATGCTGACCAACTCCATACAGCAGATCCAAATATTAGAGGAATAAGGAACTGTGACGGTTGTGACGGTCCCCCGCTGTATTACTACTGTTTGCTTGTGTGTGTGTCCCTTTTTAATGGCAGGTTCCCCCGAGAGACACCTGGGCCCGGTGATCCAGTTTAACACTCTGCCTTCCTGGCAACTTGGTCCCCGGCTGATCACCCTGTGCCTCGTCGCCACTGTGTGTGGATTGTCCTGCCAAGATCTGAATAAATGCTTTCAATTTGGTTAACCGGCTGGGTCTCCCTCATTTGCTCGGACAGCCATGATCTAGGTCATGACAGTAACACCAATTTTTACGGTTTACGCTTGATCAAAACTTTAAGGGATGACATTTGCTTAATTTTGTCATATATCAACAACTTTCTTCACATATCCCATACAGCTTTAAAATCAACTCAAACATCTGACAACCGAGGTAGCAAAGCAAGAGTTCAGATGGGAAAATAAGACTGACAACAGCGATACGGCTGTGGGACGGATGAGATTAAGAAAGGACGTGGAAAGCATGTCAGCAGTGCAGGCACAATGAAGGAGTGTGGACTACAGAAGCAATGAGACAGACAGGCAGTTGCAGATGAAAGAGGAAGCACAGACCTCAAGTATTTAATTAGGGCTGCAACAACGAATCGATAAAATCGATTATTAAAAGCGTTGGCAACAAATTTCATTATCGATTCGTTGTGTCGCGCGATTATTACGTCGCTCAATGAGTTGCGGTGATGCGCGCGGAGCAAAAATAAAAATAAAGGCGCCGAGCAGCTGGCAGTTATTGTGAGTCACATGACACAGGGAGAGACGTCTGTTCGACTAGTCGTCTAAGGTGTGCGAGCGTGGGGGGTCCCGGTCCACGTTGTCCCGTTTTGACATGAGGGACGTAACAAGCCTCCTGTTTACTCGTCATCCAGCTGAGCAAGCTAGCGTTAGCTCGCTAATAACAGCAGTAAAGCAGTTAGCAAGACTAAGACACGTTTTTATTTACTCGCCTCTTTTGGACCATTCATTTTTCAATGTGTTGTCTGGTATTTTGTGCTTTGTCCCATATCGCTTATTGTTGACAAATATATTTGTGTGTGTGTGTACTTTTTAATGCTGTCATATATGGTAGTCCAGTGCGCTTGCGCATATACTGTGGGTTATACGGTAGTTGATGTTATGCCTGTAAAGGGAGACACATGGTGATCCATAAAATCAACTAAGAAGCCCCTAATGCATTTATTTACAAATGCCATTTTAAATTCATCTCATAGCACTTGGTTGTTTTTTAGCTGTATGCATTTACTTAACTTGCACTACAATGATGGTAATAATTTAATGAATATGCTCCAAGTGAACATGAGGGTGTGTTTGTGACTGTGGTATAGAGAAGTAGTTCTGACGAATTGAGGTTCTGTTTTAGAATAAAGCTTTTTAATGCCGTTTTTTTTTTAATCCGATTAATCGAAGAAATAATCGACCGATTAATCGATTATCAAAATAATCGTTAGTTGCAGCCCTACATTTAATAGCAACTTTGTCCCAGTAGGTTGTTGAACACATCAGTGTGTGCGTGCGACGGGATTGTTTCCAGATTTAATAGCACTATTTTAGTCAGCACGAATTGAATCTTAATTGTTCCCTTTCAATCATGGCTCTCATCTTTAGTTCTTCACACAATGAAATATCTGGGATAAAATGTCCCTGTTTTCATCCACGTTCTCGTTGTGTGTCCTACTGCAGTCCTGTATCTGTCATCGCTCAGTAGCGAGTTCACTAACACGGCGACAAGTTATCACTGCGGTCAAGCTAGCCCCCACTTCCAAAAACAGTCGAGCAGCCTGCACGTTATTTCACGGAGCTCGTCTATACTAGAGATGTTCTCTGTAGTTTTTTTTATTGTGCTTCCTGTCCCTTACTTGCGTATCTTTCCGTGCTGGATTCTGTCCCCGTTGATTTAAAAAGTGAGCATGGGAAGCTTAAAACCCCGTTAGCACATAGCTGGCTAAACTGGCTGCTCAGGGTAGTCTATTATATTGTTAAAACGGCGCCTCTCGAGACTCGCCCTGACGAGAGCGCAGCGTAGGGGTGGCCCAAAGCTGAATGTAATTTACAATGCTACAATTATATGATGTCACTTATTCATCTTTGACCTGGGCAGAGCTCAGCTGAGACGTGCAGGAAAAGCATATATTTTGCGGATATCTTAATTTACAAATATTACTGGGTATAGTCCATGTTTCAAAAACATTTTTTATTATATTAAAAATAAATTCTTTAGTAGCTCAAGGTGGGGCCACGGCCCTCTATGGACCAAGCGCCACTGGTTAAAGATCTGACAAAAAAAACTCCCGGATAACGCAGTAAAACTAGAGCTTATGTTGGCTCTCTCTCCACAATGGTTCCCTTTTTAAAATTGCTGCTGATGAATGATATAAATTACTTATTAGTCTCCATTTTATTTATCATTCATAGCACTGAATGAGGCGCCCTAATCACCCACAAGTATTACCACTTGACTGATGAAACATGGCTCTTTACTGACAGTCAGACAGTTGTTTCCCGATGGCCTCCATTGTCACAGCAAGTTAATTGGTGCGAACTACTGATAAAAATCCCAATGCAAAAACGCTCCCATTCAGCCACAAACACAGTTTGATTGAAACATCCAGTAATCCAACAAGGTTTGATGTCAATTCAGCATGGGCATTCAGGCTTCATGCCCGTACAGATATATTAGACTCAATTACAAAGACAACATGGATCCCTAATGAGGAGAAAGAAAGGACGAACACACACAGTCAGTCAGTATGTTTATGTGGCTTCCCAGCAAGGGTTCTTTAAATATATATCTATAGCTATTATATCTCATATATATATATATATATATATATATATATATATATATATATATGTACAGTAAACTATGTACAGTAGTTTCCAGTGACTAGTAATTTCTCTGATTTTCATTTACTAAAGGCCACAAGTCCCTGAAGATGAAAACCACGATGGGTAGTATGTTTAGGTGCTTTTCTTGGAAATGTTCTTCGTTCATTGAAGAACTGTCCTTGTTGCAAATTTAAGAGGATTTTTTTCTTTTAACGCACAGGCACGAGAGCATAATTTCAGCAGACATCCTCCAACTGGGAACCAATGGTATCGTTGTACTCTTTAATGACTGGAAACCAAATGAAATGTAATGCACAAGTGATCATCTCTTTTAAGCACTCATTCAGCTGCACCACAGATAATACACTGCACATGCACATTCAAAGCAGATGTACTCGTGCAGCTCTTTGCCCAAATCAGCAATGCATATTGTTGGCACGTGATTATTGTGTCTTGACGGTCAGCTACTTGTGTCATTATATTGTTACATTCTACCTGGATTTATTGACCTGTTCTGAGGTTCAAAACACTTCCATCTTTGGTCCTGGTACCAACACTAGGCCAGATTCCATGTTGAGAATAGTGACCATCTTGATTGACGGACGTTTTTAGCAACCGCTGAAGAGAAGTTCCCATATTTGAAATGCAGAGAAAGTACGTGAAGATCCATCCATCCATCTTCAACTGCTTATCCGGGCTCGGCTCCAGAAGGGGGCCACGTCTAACCATCTCTGACTGGGGGATCCCAAGGCGTTTCTAGACCAGTGCAGAGATGTAATCTCTCCACCTAGTCCTGGGTTTTCCCAGCTGGCCGTGCCTGGAACA